GCCATTCAACTTTCCCTGCTCCCATTTTATCCTCCCACCCGTTGGATCTTCTTCTATCTCATCTGAAACATCCTGTGGTAACCGCACAAAATAAACATTCCCAAACTTGTCTGCACCTGCCATGGTGTCAAAATCTATATGGAAGGATGCTGTAAGCCATCTTGGAACACAATCATCAGCAAAGATATACAATTGATTCTCATCCCGCCTATACTTGCAGTAGTGGAATGACTGCCAAAGAATTAACACCATAGGAAATATAGTTAGTCCCTTATAGTGAACAAAGAACGGCAAGCAAGAAGAACAAGAATATGTACTTCAAAGAAATCCACCACACAAAAATGCACCTCACATCCAGTATGCAGAAAGCTGATATTGGAATATTACCACGAACAAAGACTACGCAACCGAACATGATTCATTACATATAACAGTAACTCCGAACCCAGTATACATCAGGAAACAATATATGATATGTCATTGCAATTTGTACGAAGAGAAATTTTAGTCTAAATTTCAGCTATTTGACCATTCCCCAAGAATTTTTAACCAAAAAATAAAAAATAAAAATCCAAGCATGTACCTACTTATTTAGCTTATATAATCCAAGGTCAAATAACTTGGTTTTTTAAACGAACACCAGGATATCAGTTACCCATGTTTAACGAAAATGTAACGGGGGAAGGTACTGCACAACAGGAGGCACAAAAAAATAGATGAACCAGATACACCCACAGAGAAAGAAAACATACCTCTTGAATGTCACCTACATAAATCCGATCGCGATAAGTTTGGATTGACACAATTGTGTTGGGAAACAGCTTATTCTCACACTTCCTGAGCAATCTTTTCTTCCCCAAATCATAGAGTCTGAGCACTGGTCCGATCCCAGCTAGTAACCTTCCTTGAAACTGGCACAAGGCAAGAGGAACACCATCCACTTGTGTCTTGTGCAAAAGTTCAAGGGACTTTCCATCATCTAGGAACCTATATATATGTATATAGCCTGCTGTTACACTCTTTTTTGGCCAAAACTGCAGTCCCTTCGCTGTGCCAACAGCTAAAAGTGTACCATACTCCTTGTCATGGAAATTCACTGTACAGATACTGAATGCAGCTTCATTATCCTGAAGCTCCAGAAGACATGTTGTAGTTGCTGTCTTGGGGTCAAGAACTCTAATGCAAGACACCCATTTGTCAGACTCTGCCTTAGGATACCCATAGTGCTCATCAGATAAGGGATCCTCCTCATCTCCGCCATTTTCCATCTGCTCTACATTACCGTTTCCATTTTCACCTAAACCCGCAGCCTCAAAACACTCTTTTTTGGCAGCTTCACGCTCTTCTGCTGTGAATGCTCCTTGATCACTTTCAATAATTACCAAAAGCTTTCGTTTGAGCTGAATGATAAACTTTCTAGGGGTGTACCTCAGTGGAATCACAGTTTCATTAAATGTTTCTCCCAATCTTTCAATAGTAAAAACCCTCAAAGCATTTCCAGCAACAGAAACTACACCTTCCGAACATTGATCGGATGAAAATGAGGCAGCATATTCAAGGGTCTCATACGATAGGGGTGTTAAGAGAAAATGTCCTTGATGGATATAACCAAGCCAGGGCCGACTTGACAAGCAAAGCATAGCATGCTTGCCTCTCACACTAATAGAAAATAGCTTTGGCGCTCTTAGTCCCAAGAATCGAGAACGGGAATCAGAGAGCTGACCTGTGACCATATCCACCACTGTTCTGAACAAAATCCCAGAGCGTAAACCAGCGTTTAGGAAAAGGCTAGCAGGATGATCAGCACCATCCTCCCCACCAATTGACGCCTGAACCTCAAGAAAGAGAAGAGATTCTGGAACTCCAGAAAGACTTTGCACACTAAGAATTTGCATACAGTCATCAGGATCCAATGACAAAATACGAATCGTGTTGTCATATGAACCAACTGCAAGGAAACGAGATCTCTGTCTCCCTTCAGGTACAGGAGCAATGTCTAGACAAGCTACATCTCCAGACATTTCATGTTTCTCCACCTCCATTAACTGACCCGTCAAATCAACCTCAAAATATATGAGTTCTCCTCCACTCAGTGCAATAACTACCTGAAGTCTATTAGAGCCAACCTTTACAATCGTCCTCTTTCCAGGAGTTCTCCATTCATTAATACGTCCATCTTCCCTAATATGTCTAATTCCATTTGGGTGCACTTGCATGAGAGAATCATCACCTATCAAAGAAACTGCAAGTGATGGGGTAGTGTCAAGAAACCCACTTTCACTAACTTCCTCAACTGTCTCACCAATTGAAAGCACAAGAGTAGCATTTGCAAATGACACCACAATGTATGCATCAAATTCATCGGACACATTCTTCTTCACTGTCCAGACCGCACTCGGTACACCAGGAAGCTCTGACACGGCCATCTCACTGATAGCTAAACCAGGTCTTAGTATCCTGAGGGATGAACGAGGACCCCGCCCACAAAGTGTAAATATTTGAGGTGTTTCTTCCTCAAAGAGATTATTGACCTTCATATCCATTATCGGCATTAAGCTCTCAACTTGATCAATCCTAACAAGGTTTTTCAGTTTTCTGGGCTGGAAAAACAAGGGCTGGAAACCTTCTTCCGTTTCCATCAATGTGGCTGATGAAGACTCCACGTCAGGTTCTTCCCCTATTGCCTGGAACTGGTACAAAGAGTGATTCCCAAACTCTGACGCAGCAAACAAAAACCCAGACTTTAACACACACATTGAAGTTGTAACTGGAATTGTATCAAAATACTTTATCTTTAATTCTGAGACCTTGTCATTATCATGATCCAGAGTAACCTTAAATATATCTCCATACTCTGTCTGCAAAAGAAAAAAGAACATTGATTTCTGCTTGTGCATAGCTGCTGAAACTATAAGAACCCCACGCTCTGCAGGCAAATCTGCACGCCTAGGAATCACAGCCCTGAGATCCGGTTTATCCTGGTTCTTATAAATCACAAAATTTTCCGCACAGACCAATACACCGCTTGGCCCATCCCCACCTCCAGGAACTGTGACCAGCATATTTGCACCATTATCAACCTGATCTGACCACTTCCTCGATACGTGATTGAGCCCAAGATCGAGCTCATAGAAAGTCAAATGCTTCTGCGCCTCATTAGCCGCCTGCCCAGTAGAGTCCTGATCAGCTTCCGCATAATCCAACTCAATGGCAGCAAACATGGGATTATCAAACCCACAATCAACCCCACAAATTGAATACACAATCGTATGCGACTTGTGAGCCTCCAACGGAGACGAAATCGTCAACCTAGCAGAAGTATCCCTATTCAAAACGTAAACAAGCTTCTGCTTCTCACATGCCCCAACCATAACAGCCCTCCCCTTGGGGTCAATGGCCAAATACTGGCCCGGAACTATCCTTCGACAACCCGATTTCCCGAAAGTCTCCTGGTGAATCTTATCAAACACATTCTTCTCCTTATTATACTCTAGAATCACAATCCGACCCGAATCGGACCCGACAACAATATAGTCCTTCTGAGAGCCAGTGAGCCTAAACTGAGCTAACGACCTAATTGCGCCGAAAATTTCAACAGAGAGGAGAGTCTGGATCTTACCATTTTCGTCGGGACGGAGAAGGTCGAGAACTTTGCCGCGGGCGACGACGATCTCCTGGGCCTTTCCGCCGGAGAAATTGCCGTTGATGGCGCAAACTATGCCGGTGGCGCGCTGGAGTGTAAGGCTGTAGAGATACATGGCATGGATTTGTGGATGCCGGAAAAAGCTAGGGTTTTGGGAGGACAGTGAAGTGGGGAGTGTTGGGACCTCACGAGGTTTAGGCCCGTTTAGGGTTTTGTTTATAAAAAAAAAAAAAGCTTAATTGCACCAATAGTCCCTTATTTATTGATATTTTCACTTTCATCAACGTAGTTTTTGTTGTTTCATTTTTGTCCTTGTAGTTTCATTGGTTAGCATATTGTGGACTGTTTTTTCCTGCTAGGGCTAAACTCCAAGAACTGGAACTTAGGATTGTAACCCTGATTGATTAGGACATATATATTTGAAAGCTCAGGGTATTATGGTCCACAAATCATTGGAAAAGCACGAGGGATTTTTGTTGCAAGCTCTGAAGATAGGAGCAGTTACATGATGACTATGAGATAGCGAGTTTTAAGAATGGATTGAGATTTTTCAAGGTCTGGATGGATGTGCACCAGCATGACGGGTCTCATGTTGCTGTGATTGGTGGTATTGGGATGTATGATGGTGCAAATGGCTATGCAACTGTTAAGGCAGTAAATAATGCAGGGTCTAATGCTATATGGGAAGAAGAAAGCAAGCTTCTTAGGCTCAATATTTACCTCAGCTAGTAGCTCGAAACCTTGTTATGCCGTAAAAATTGTGTGTTTTCAGGTCACACGAAGACATGCTACCGATGGTCCGATGGATTTCTGCAGTTTTCTGTCCAAGTATGATCAACCTGAGGACTAATATATATAACTCCACTTTACAGAACTTGACCAACTGTTGTACCCTAATGAACTTGATGCAGTCCTGGTCGCTCAAAGGATCGTCAAGCTTTTACCACTTCAATGAGATTTCATTTTAATTTCTCCTCTTCAAACAGGGAAAAATGCTGAGCCATTTGACCCTAAGTAATTGAAATAGACAAGGATCAAGTATGTCCGAGTCATCAATATTTTTATTTATTTACCACTCATCCATCACAAAAGAGATATATCTCCGGTTGTAGGGCAGATTCTCTTCATAGCAGATATACAATTTGACATAAAATTATAGGTTAACCGGTTAATGTAGTTATTTAGCATTTGTGTATAATGTGGGTCACTTGCTCAAAATTACCTCAGGGTAAATCTCCTAAAGGTCAAGCCAAAACTCCGGGCTGTAGTTGGCAGCACCCAATATGCTCATACCAGCACCATCTTAAACTACTAAAAAAAGGCACCAACTCCGATAAGAAACAAGGGTGCACCAACTCCATCACTTCATACAACTCCATTACAACCTATAAATAACAACACAAATCATTGAATTTCTCAAACACAGCACACACTCAAATCCAATACATTCTCTCAAGAGACAAAGATTCAATACAAAACCCTTCATTTCTTCACAAGCTCACAACCTAAAAATGGCCAAGTCCCCCAAACCACTCAAGGCCACACTCTACATCTTGCTTCTAGCCATCACCCTTGGATTTGCCAGCCCAGCCAGGATCCTTGATGAGGTGCAACCCGATGAGTCCAATCCGCTTCCGACAACTGTTCCCACCACGAACCCTCTGCCAAGTGGCCAGATCCCTGCCGTCGCCCCTACCACCCCAACCGCCGATGACACTGTCGACGTCGCTGACTCACCAATCCCGGAGACTGATGATACCCCGCCAAAAGCTGAGGTGGTGCCTCCAGTAGTCCCTCTTGTCACAACGGTCCCACAAGCTAAATCACCAGTACCAGAGACACACGACGAACCTGCCATAGTTCCAACACCTATTGCTGATGTGGCCCCCGTAGCAACACCCGCCATTCCAGTCGCCACACCCGTGGCAGGTCCCGTCGCCACAACACCAACCGGCCCTAACCCAACTGCCGCGGCCGCTAGTGCCATCGTGGCAAAACCCGGCGCGGAAACCCCACACTTGTCCTTTTTCATGCACGACATTCTGGGAGGATCCCACCCATCAGTCAGAGTGGTGACCGGCCTCGTAGCCACCACAGTCCTCAACGCTGCATTCTCCAAACCCAACAACAATATCTTTCCCGTCAGCGGTGGGACCCCCCTAACCAACAACAACATCAACGGCTTCCTCGATAACAACAAGAACAACATCCCTAACATCGCTGGCCTCAGCGGCCTCACCAACTCCCAGTCCAGCACGGTCATCCAGAACAGCGGCAACAACAACGTTGTCAACGATGGCAGCAACCAGCCCTTCGTCACTGCCGGCCAGCTCCCTAACGGGGCTACCCTCCAGAAGCTCATGTTCGGATCTGTGACCGTGATCGATGACGACCTGACCGAAGGACACGAGTTGGCCTCTGCCGTGCTCGGCAAGGCACAGGGTTTCTACTTGGCTAGCTCGCTGGACGGGAACAGCCACACCATGGCATTTACTGTGTTACTGCACGCAGGTGAACATGATGTGGAGGACACCATTAGCCTCTTTGGGGTCCACCGTACAGCGTCGCTGGTGTCCCACATTGCTGTGATCGGTGGGACTGGGAAGTACGAGAATGCGAATGGGTACGCCGCCATTGAAAGCCTGCACCAGGAGGACCAGCACACGACTGATGGGGTGGATACTATTATGCAGATCAGCGTTTACCTTTCTGAATAGAAGGTGGTCGTGTGTTTTTCAATGTGCATTTGATGTACTTTCTATGTGTATCTTTAATTGAATGAAAAATGAAATCTTTGTCATTAAAAAGTCCGATCAAACCTGTTTTTGCTCTTTTATTCGAGTAGTTTTCTACTTTAATTTAATCTAAACTATGGGAGAGCACATCCACTCTAGCCAACTTAACTACCCCGCGGGCAGACTCGTTTCTTGTTTAATCAAAGAAGAAAAACCAACCATTAAAAATGTCATAAGCAGAGCCAAGTATCAATATCACAACTTTTTTCTGTTGCGTTCTGTGTTCAAACCTATTAGTTTTACATCAATAGACACCATTAAATTTCTCACAATTCATTCATTCAAGTTCATGTCGTGATATATTCCTAAGTCTATTCCTTCAACTTGTAGGTGTCTCATGTTTTTGACAGATATATAATAATTGATTGGATAACTCGTAGATTACCCTTTTTCTGAAACGCGGAAAAAAAAATCATTGCCTTGTCAAATTATCTTGCATTAGTTGAATCATAAAAGCTTATCAGTATGTAACATTTGTTCCTTACCAATATCTCTGGTTTAGAAAGGCTTGCAGTTTAATGGATGACGACTTACAAGTCCACAATATGGTTCTGCAATTTTCGACAAGATGATAAATGGAGAGCAGAGTTGTTCACAGAAAATAATAACACTCAACCAAGATTTAAATCTTGACGGGAGGAATTAATCGGCGATGAGTTACAGACCAGCTGGCGTAGCCAGGCAAAACCTACAGAGGTTACACATAATCGGAGATTATAGACCGCGCTAATCTTAGTCCTCCATTTTCATTGTTGTAACGTTTTGTAGGACATGCGCTGGTTGCTTTAACTAGCTATTCTAGAAAAATTACTCATATTATACGCCCTTATCGCTCATACGGACATGAACTGATTTTTTCCGTTAGGAAAGAAGTTCGGATCCAAACTTGCAGTCCTGTGTTAGGTTCAGATGTTTCAATTTGAACAATGTTACAGAAAACAAAATGTAATCATTTCATTTCTCTAAAATAACAAGCAATACAATACAAGAAAATCTCTCTTCAGAAAGCCCGCATCAGCAAACTTTATCGCTCTTTCTGCAGACCTTACAAACAAACTTGAAACACAAATGCTCTCAATCACATATAATTAGTAAAGTGATATAAACAGTGAACTGCAACAGCGTCTCCGCCCCATCAGTTTGCTGGTTGGAAGCTGGAAAGGTCTTAACCAATGCGAAACCTTTGGCATTGACATACTTTCCGGTGCCTCCCATCACGGCCAAGTGAGACTCTGACACAGATGTCTGGTGAACCCCAAAGAAGCTAAGACTGTCGGTGTAACTCCCACTTTGGAACATAGCAGTAAAAGCCATAGTCTGACTGGTACCATCCTCAGAGCTCACTATATAGAAACCTTGTGCTTTGCCAACCAAGCCAGAGCCAAGCTCATGCCCTTCAGTCAACTCATCATCAAACACGCTCATTGTTCCGAACATGAGATTTTGGAGTGCGGAAGGGCCTGGCAGGAGCTGCCCACCATTTATCGGAAAGTTTCCAAACCCGCCGCCATTTCCGTTGTTGTTCTGTCCCACGTTTGGTGTTGTTCCACTAAGCCCTGCGAGAAATGGGATGTTATTGTTGTTTATGAGACCGTTGTTGTTGTTGTTCTGGGGTACTCCGTTGTTAAATGGTAGGACTGCCCCATTGGGCTTGGCGAACGGTACTTGGCCGTTGACTGCAGGGTTGTTGACTATCCCTGTCATGGCTCGGGCAGTGGGGTTCGATCCTCCGAGGATGTCGTGCATAAAGAAGATTAAGGTAGGGTGTTCAGCAGCATTTGCAATTGTTGCAATACTAGTTGCTGCTGAAGGTGTAGCTACTGGTGCAGCATTTGTGGGCGTATCAAACGTATCGGGCGCCACTGAGGGAACTACCAGAACTTGTGGCTGCTCCTCGAGATTTCGTGCTGAAGCGGCAGAGAAAATGGTGAGAGTAAGAAATAGGAGGTACGCAGCGGCCTTGACAGAGATGGAGAAAATTTTGTGAGCTTCCATGTTAATTTGAGAGGAAAATAAAATACGGGAGTCGAAATTGTTTCCCTTTCGGGTTTCAATTCAAGGATCGAAGGGATGTTTTCGTTCGTGTGGATGTATAATAGTGTATGTATAGATTGAGCTTCTGAAAGGAGTTGGTCAAATGGAGTTAGTGCTAATCTTTCCTAATTAGTGTGTTGGTTAGGCTCCTAGAGTAAAGTTTGACTCCAAAAGAGGAATGGTTTGGATATGGACAGAGAGGTTTAGGTCACCTAACTAAAGATCCTAGCTTTCAAAAGGTTCGGATTATCGTTCAATATTTCAGGGAATACGGCTTCTGACGTTGATTCTTAAACGAGGATGTACAAGCAGTCCTCGAACTTTCATGAAGCCGTTTATAATTATATACAGAGCTTCCTTACGCTTCCTTCCTGGTTTTCGTTTAGCCATCCATCTAGAAACAATTGCAAGTACTGAACTGGGGAGGAAACATCCAATTCCAACACATCTGAATTTCATTTATCTTGTATAAAAATCGAGTCTATACATATATCCTTTGCAAACCCTATCACTTGATCAAAACTGTGGCCATATCTACGAAAAAGTACCTCTGTCTAACTTGTTCACAAAATTACTCTACCAAGACAATAATCACTAGTGTCTTATAAACTCTCCATGGTAACAAACTCCGCTATGAGCTTATCGAACAAAAATCTCTCAATTTCTCTACCAATACCATCAATATCATCACCTAAATCTAACTCAATCTCCCTTCCTAGCGCCTTTTCAATGGAGTCCTTACCTTTTTCCTTCTCTTGGCTAACAAGCAACACCCATAGATCTTCCTCTATCATCTCCTCACTTGGCGTGGATCTAATCCTTCTAGACATGGGCTTTGTCCACGTGGGAACACCCATACAAGGCTCGAAAATCTCCATCAACCCTGCATTTATACGGTCAAACAAAAGCCTCCTGTCCGACCTTTTCCATGATGCCTGATCACCAAACTTCTTCTCCAGGGTCTCAAAGACAGCAAGGCTTACTGGCCATTCCGGAGGGCACCAGGTGCCTAAGTCCATCGTTGAGTTCCTACCATAAAAACCTATCTCCGATAACACATCAACAAGGTAGGAATAGTCTCTACTTTCTTCAACCCTGAACAATCTCATTGAATCTTCATTTTCTCTGTAACTGCTTGCAGATCCTTGAATAGTATCATCATCGTCGTCACTTGAAACAATCATTCCAGATCCTTCGGAGTATGTGTCAGAGTAGTCTGATTTCAGAAATGCAAGTAGCATATACAAATTTAGCATGAATAAATCGAAAAATAAATAGTCAAAAGCGTGAACAAATAAAAAGGGTTAATATCTTAGAAATCAAACTTCTAGTCAACAGACTAAACACACCTGTGATGTCAACATTCATCCTTCGCGGGAATTCTGGTGTAGGCGACCGCTCTCCACTAAATATTGGTTCCAGAACTGAAACTGGACTAGGCTTATCAGCCTCCTCCAAGCTCGCCATACAATCTGACTCTGTGGTGGAGCAGTGCAAAAGAAATGGACTTTCTTTTTTGTCTTCAGTGGATGTTTCCTGCAGTTTCACAATAGTTTAAAAAAGTGGCGTAGGGCCGTAGTAAATCTAGTGATGACATGAATAACCAAGCAACAATTAATACGGATTTTCACAGTAAACTGATAAAAAATTAAAAAAAAAATCAAACCATGTATAAAAAGACTACCTGTCTTCTAAAGAAAGAAACAACAAACCTGTTGAACTGAAGCATCTGTGCCATGACTGGAAGAATTGTCATTTTTGTAGACAAAAATGCCGGCTCTGCGTCCAGATTGCTGCTTCTTGAAATTTCCGGAAGTTTTTTCCACAGTGTGAACACCTTTGAATTCTAAGCTTGGATAATAGTGGAGTTTCTTACGGTTGGATCTCAACTTTATAGGTCCGAAACCATCATTCTGGTTGAATTTGTACTCCCTTGACTTGTGCTGCCCCAAATTAATTGACCCTTTTGGCTTGAAACTCCACTCATTGCAAAGAGCTGCATATTTATCTTGCTGTGTTCTAAACTTACTGAGGTCTAGGTCTTTAACGTCATCCCTAACGAGCTTTCTTTTTGGTTGAAGATGCCTAACGAGACTGTCATCCAATGTTCTTGAGCCTGTTTCGTGGGCAGACATGGCAAGCGAATTCCAGAGGGTAGCGCCTTTACGAGCCATTCCTGCTTCTTCCAGCTTATTAATCATCTTCCGTCGTTCTGAGAGTTGCTTTTTGGCTTCCCGGTATACAAATGACTCATCTGAATAAGAAAATGACTGGTATCTTGAGGAAGACAGCCTCATCGATTCAGTTTTCATTGCAACTGAGTTGCCACCTCTGGATCCTAACCGTGATACCGTTGCATCAATGTTGGTTTTGTTGCAACTTGTATTTTCAGTTAGCTTCCCCAATATTTCAATCAAAACTGTAGACCTTAAGCTTACTGGTTCCATGTCAAATGTCAAGTTCTTCCTTTCTTTTACTTCAACATGTAGTTTCCCACTACCAGGACTAGAATACTCCATGCACTTTCGATCACTGGAATGAGAATCATCAAGGGAACTCAAAGAAGGGAAACATCTCTCAGAAATCTCGGCCTTTCCTTGCTTCTGTTTCAAAACAACAATTCTACTACTTGGAATGCATCCTTCTTTGTTCGCCCCCAATTGAGATCTTGAAAAATCATCTGAATTTAAGAGTCCAACTTCTCCAAGGGATTCTGTGACAATTCCATTCTCAAACGTCTCAAGTAAAGTGGCATTTGGCAGCTCGTATCTCCTCCCGGATTTGCTGCATGTATCAACATTTCCACTGCCAGAAGTGCATGTCGAAGGGGAAACTTGCAGATTATGCCGATGCTCACTGATCAAAGAACTGCCCCCCGGGAGACATTCCGCGACATGATCACCCTCACAATCCATCATTTCCGGTACTCTCAACCTGAATGAATGACGAGACTCTCGGGCACCAATGGAAGCAACTCTGCGCAGGTAATTCTCAGACAGCACTCTTCTTTGTTTTTGGACAGGCGCCTGAGGCGGCGAGTCATTAAGACCCATCAGTTTTTCCATAACACTTGGTGTACCTGTAGCTTCCATTTCTGCCAAGTATTCCGATATAATCTATACAGGCACCGTGAACACTTCACTTTCTAGAAAATGCAGGAACGGAACTGCACAAAATCGGAGGATGCTTGGTGAACAAGCGAAAAGTATACAACGCGAAAATCCGAAGAACAACAAAAAGAAAAGGATTCAGTGAACCCATTCGAGAATCCGAATGATCATAAATTTTTACTGTTCCAAGAAACCCAGTAGAGATACAGAATACTAAAAGTTTGTAGAAACCAAATTATTACCACAACTTTTGTTAAGCAATCAATGAACAACAACAAAAGAAACAATAAGAATCTAAGTAAATTGAACACAACATCATAATTACAAAAGAAAAAAGACAATTTCAGACCTTTAAACCTCAAAGAACCACACTGCCATCATATGATATGATCATCCTAACTACTACAACAACCACATCAACTTCACTGAAACAAAATCTTTGCAATATCAGACGTGGCCAAGTTGGTTATAGCAACGTGCTCCGTCATTCTGTACTCAAGTTCGAATCTCCCTCTCGCTAATTTAAATTGGATTAAAATATCGCTCAAACAAAATAACAACAACATCATTTATTCCACCACTATGAAATCCCATTAAGAAGAACAACCATCATTAACAAAAGCACAAGCATGCAAGAATCAAAACCCAATAAAATTATGAATCGCTCTATAAATTAAAGAACAAAGAAAACCCAGAAAATCAAAATTTGTGAATTAATGGAAAGCTCAAAGGGTTACCTTTCTACCATTGGTCAGGCCACCATAATTAAATTCCTTCACCAAAACCAACAATCTTTATAAAAACTCTCCCTTCATTTTTGGACTAGAATTTAATAACGTAATAATTTCATCAGTCACAATCTGGGTTTTATATAAATCAATCCAAGAAAATGACTCAGCGGTACACCCACAAATCTGGTCAACAAAATATTTTGAAAAATTAAAGTCAATAATCCAATAATTTTTGCTTATTTGGGCACGGGAAATGGCTGAAAATTCAAATCTTGGAAATGGGTTTTGAATTTAATTTCTGGGTTCTGAAGAAAAAATTGGATCGAATGATAAAAAAAATGATTGGGAAGGCGGAAGAAGGAAAAATTAAAAAAATAAAATAAATAAATAACAGAGAGACAATACAAAATCGTTTGGGTTGGGGTCGTCTTATTCTATTTGTTTTGTCGTAATATACCCAAATGATTTAATTGTCTTGCTTGCGTAACTCCCGCCACAAAGATATGGTTTTTTAATGGGGATTTGATTGGAGCTTTCCAATTTTTTATTAGTCCAGGCATGGAGGGGGATTTGTGGGAGGTGGTTCTGTGAAGAAATTAGGAGTGGAAATAGAGGAATGTTGGCGTGTGTATTTGGTATGTCCGATTCATATGATTGCATGGGAGATAATGGTTCAAATTTTGACTTTTAGATGGGGACGGCGGTGGCGGCGGCGGGGGTGGTTCGGTCTGGTGCTCCTGGGTTTTTGGAGGTTGAGAAATAGTGGGTTGGGTTTATTTGTCAAGGATTTGGGCCTGTGGCTTGTGGAACAAGATTTTAGTCCACATAATCTTTTGCGCCTATGAGACTGTCAGCAAGTTCACTCTTGATCAAAACAACGAGAGATACGTGTAGACGGAATGCTATTATGGTGGCATTTCATGCTTATCACGCATTAATTATTACAATATGTTTTAGTTTGCTCACATGACAATACGTGATAAATTTGGTATTATCACAACGTATTGGTTGCATGTACTTCAACATTACACACAGGCTTGACCTGGTTTGCATGGGTTTGACCAATTTCAGGTCAACTACATTACATATAATACAATACTAAATTAGGCCAACTACGTGAAATAGTCTCATAACGTACAATTTTAGATCAGCCTGATAATAAAACATTGTTCTAAAAATCCCTGCCTAGCGCCGCCTAGGCGCACTAGGCGGTTGGCCACTGCTCCGATTAATGTCTAGGTGTTTGAAAATTAAGAAAATGCGCTTAGACCTGTTGAGAGGCCCGCCTAGACTACCTACGCACCCGCCCAGACCTGTCTAGGTTGCAACTCACATAGACAAAAAATATATAAATTTCATTTTGCATATTATTTTTTTCAATAAATTGTAAGAGACTTGTTGAATACTTAAATGAACACACATTATATGTTTGTCCCCATATTTTCATTATGTTTCAATACTTCATAATATTTATATACGTCATTCTATTTTGTAGTTTATATATATTTTAACTATAAACAGATACTTATTTACACGAAAATATAATAAATTTACTTAAATTCGTCTAGTCCGTCTAGGCGCTAGGCCTTAACCCGCCACCCGACTAGCACCTAGCGTCTTTTAGAACCTTAAGGTTAAACTCGTGCTTAGTTCATACAGATAATATTTAAGGGTGGATATACGTTTCAAATCAAGATATATTTTTTACTAGGACTCTATATCTTGTACTACCAAATGTCTCACCCAAAAGAATTTTGGCATTACACGTGCTATTATTAGTATGCAACAAGTATAGAGTCTTACATCCGCCTCTACTTAATTGTGTCCCCGATAAACTAACATTTTAGCTTCACCCTTGATCCATGATATGTAAATTCTCAAGTGTCAACAAAAAGTCAACGTTCAATTCAACCAATTTTTATTTTCACATCAAAATACATTTGCCCTAGTAGTAAAAATGCTTCTTTTACTTGCCAATATAACTCCTTTTGATCAGCTCAAAACTAGAAATTTTAGATCCCAATTCAATTGCACTCACTTGCATGAAGTAATTGTCAGGTGAGTGGTGATTCAAACACTTATTTTTTTTTTTTTGTTGAACAAGCGATATTATCTATATTAAGAAGTTGAGGATGAGGGAGGTTGGGCTAAACTCACAATGGGCGAGCCATAATAATGTGATTCAAATTCGTTTTTGGTGAGAATTGAACATAAGAACTTTCACTTACAAGTGAAGAAAAATATCACTAAACCGTAATACTAAGTAGATAAAGTAAAGAAAACCATAAAACCAAACAATCACATCATCTCTCATATAATGCTTTAGAAAAAGCAGAGAAAACCATGAAAACCAAGTCACCTTTTTCCTTCCATTATATATGCCTTTTCATCTTGTTATGACACGGAAAGGAATATCAAACATGTGGCAGAAAATGGGATATAGGTAGAGATTAGAAATATGAAAATTAAAAAGGAACCAATTCTATTGAATATGTTGACAAGTAAATGAATCCAATGGCTTTGCTCTCAACAATAATGTTATATATTCTCACATAAAGCAATATACTTAAGACTAGGTCAACATGCAGTTAGAAATGACAAAATAAATGAATTTATTGAGTTAATGGATATCCATTAGACCTATTTTCAGTTTTTTTTTTTTTTTTCCTTCTTCGCATCTAGAGTTTTACTAAGATTATTTAAACACTTCATTTCAATTACAATCATCCTACACACGTCCCCTTAAGTCAGCCACCGTCAGAGTCGCCGTTGCCATTGCCAACGGAATTGGATCTCATTTTCACATCTTAGTTATTTACTGTGTATCGTGCGGTTATAAATTATTTGATTTTTTTATTTAAAATTAAACACAAATAATATCTGATAAAAATTAATCGTACAATGTACGATTAACGAGGATGCAGGGATTCCTATAATCCCTACCAAGTAAATCCTAAGAGGATGCTCGGGTAACTATGTAAATGGCGGTTGAAATAAGGGCCACGTGGTATTATGTATATAGTCAACATTCGTACCATGTTCATAGTGATTTGTAACACAGAAAAAGATTAGAAAAGTGTTATTAGAATGTAAAGAAATGGAAATTTGAAGATTCACAATTTGTGGTTGAATGCTTGACACGCAAACGACCTAAATGGATAAATCAAATGTCCTTGCCAAGATATAAACGGTAGTTGGAGAATTAAATTCATTTTATTAATTAATGGTCGAGAAAACAGGAATAATGGTCGTTTAATTTTAATTAAATTGAAGTTCTGGTTCTTTAATTAAAAATTATTGATTATTGGTCTCCTAACTTATTAAAATGTACAGCTATGATTATTTTTATCAACTCCGTTATAACTTATATCAAAATAAATCATGATGGAAGGACCCTTGTTATAATTGGTTAAAGTTGAGGGACCATTACTATAATTGGTTAAAGTTGAGGGATCATTGCTTTGTTTGAGTTAAAGTTGAGGGACTATTGCTAAAATTTTCTCATTTGATTTCCATATTTGCCACTTGATTGAGCCTCATGTGCGTGACACGTGACTCATTTAGACAAATTCTGATAGAGTTGATGAAAAGAACCATAAATGCACGTTTTAAGGAACCAATAATCGTAGGTTTTTAATTAAGGGATCATTACTCTAATTTAATTAAATATGATCGATCATTGCTACAATTTCCTCTGAATGATCAATCAATTAACCACAGATCACATACCAATTCAAAGTCAGAGGCTTTTGAATTTGTTACGTTTCAATTCTCTCTAATTTTCTTGTAACTTAATTTGTCTTTGAACACACACAAAAAAAAAAAAAAAAAAGATTAATTGACTGATTCTCTTTATAAACGCAGTTTTTGCCGATGTACATGTCTCTGAAAATTGGTTATGTGCATTGTAAATGATGTAATTAACACAAACATGCTATTAAAATAATGAAAACTATTTCTACTTTATTAAACAAATAAAATTGTGTCTTCTTTGAGGAAATTCAGAAACCATTTCTTTTCGAGAAGGTGTTATCTTTATTTCCCTTGTTAAATGATGTTGTATTTGTTTCATTACTGGTCTTGTTTTTCAGTTAAAAAAAAAAATATATATATATATATATTTATTTATTCATTCGAGTTAAATGATGTTAATATTTGTTGATCTAGAAATTTCTGGTCTTTTTAATTACTTTTATTTCGGACAAATGATCTACCAATTTTTATGAGCTTATTATTAATTGGTTTGCATAATGAAATTATAATTTAGTCTTATTTTATTTTTTTAAAATTAGTTCTGTTTTACTTCATTTTTTGAAACTATTGTTTTAGTCTCAATTCATTTTACTTCCGTTTATTCTATTAAATAGATGTTAAATTAAAGGATTGTATGAACATTTTATTTTTGATATTGAAAAAATAAATCTTATACTTCGTGACATAACATTTACGAGAGTGAATTGACATTAAATGAGACGAAAAGATAATTTTAAGAAACAAAATGTGAGTAAATAAATTTCTAGAATTAAAATATGATTGAAGACAATTTTAGAGAAAAATTAATTAATAAGCCTTTTATATGCAAAGTGTATTAAGCTTGTGTCAGTACTGACATATGCCTTAATATATATATACACACACACACACAAACGCGCACACACTCAAAGCTCATCAACTCTCGCTCCATAACGAACCGTTCTGCCCCGTTACCTTTCAGTTTCATCTTCCACACTCTCTACCCCCTGGGCTCTCTAATGGTTCTCGAGGTCGCTGCCAAGGCTGCTGAGGGCGCCCCTGATCTCCTCGGCGACTGTACGTTCACATTTCTCTCTATTTTCCCTCGATTTCCTTCCTAGATTTTGATCAAATTTTACTAATTTGGTAAAATCGTCCGTCTTTCGTTTCTGACAGGCCCTTTCTGCCAAAGGGTTACTCTAACCTTGGAGGAGAAGAAAGTACCCTACAAGCTGCACCTCATCAATCTCAGCGACAAACCCAAATGGTATTTCTTTGTGTTTTGGATTTTTGAGCCAGAAAAAACGTGCAGGCAGAGATGGAAATGTTGGATTTTTTTGTTTTAATGGATTTAATGTGTTTTTGTTGGTGATTTGTAGGTTTACGGAAGTGAATCCAGAGGGGAAGGTGCCTGTGGTGAAGTTTGATGACAAATGGGTGCCTGATTCCGATGTGATTGTTGGGATCATTGAGGAAAAATACCCTGAGCCTTCTCTCAAAACCCCTCCTGAATTTGCTTCTGTGTATGATCTCTCTCTCTCTCTCTCTCTTGTTAGTTTTGGGAAACTGCTGTTGGAAGCACTTATGATTATAAGCGTTTTTGCTAGAAGTGCTTTTAGTATAACCAAGTTCATAGTTTTATTAAAAATCCAAATACAGCCTGAGAATCGCTTGGAAGTGCTTCCAGAAGCAGTCGGGCCTTTATTTGTTGTTCATATTTTTGTAACTGTAGGCTCCTTGATCCGTTTCTCTTATTTTGATTTGGTTAATATTTGTTGGCCTGGTAAACATCTGAGTACTTAACGTTATAGGGAATTCATATTTAAATTTCTCTCCTTTTCGTAAGGGTTGTCACGCAAATAATTTGTATTAATATGGCCCGTTGTATTGTGATCATGGTTTGCTAAACTTGAATTTTTGAGGATATCTTTATTGCTTAATATTTCGGGATCTTTTTGTTGTGAATTTGCAGGGGATCAAAGATATTGGGATCATTTGTGACATTTCTGAAGAGCAAGGATCCCAGTGATGGATCAGAACAGGCTTTGCTCACGGAACTGAAGGCATTAGATGAGCATCTTAAGGCACATGTATGTCAGTTTACGTCGTGATGAAGAAACACTTTACCTTTTCTTCTAAAAAGTTGTGGTCTTTGTATTTGGTGGAACATGTTGTAAATTGTAATGTGTTGCGAATGAAACCAGGGTCCGTACATTGCTGGGGAGAAGGTCACTGCTGCGGATCTAAGCTTGGCACCGAAACTGTACCATCTCAAGGTGGCTCTCGGCCATTTCAAGAAGTGGACGGTTCCAGCAGATTTGGCCCATTACCATAAGTACACCGAGGTATGAAATTTTTCATGCATGATGTTGCATACTTGGAGCTGTATATTTTATATCTTCCGGTAATCAATTTTTCAGTGTATATGTTTTATAAATAGGAGACCATTTTTGTTCTAGTAAGTGTTATAGTGTGTTTAAGTTCTAAATCTCCCTTTACTTCTGCTCGTTATCTGTTGTGATTCATGATGCAGAATTTGATTTCCATGAAATGCTGTAGACTAGTGATTTAGATTACTGCAATAAATAAGATGTGGTTCCTGCGTAGTTAGGTTTGTTGGTTAATCAATTTGTCTAAAAGCTATGCTGTTGAATTCAGCCACCATGCGATTAGGTGATTGCTATTCTTCTCTCCCTTCAAACACCACCTGTGTGTGTGTGTGTGTGTGTGTGTGTGTGTGTGTGTGTGTGTGTGTGTGTGTGTATGTGTAGCCCGCTCTCCCTCGTCCCATGTTTGTGTGTGAAAACTAGTCTGCAAGTTTGGGAAAGTTGGTCAATTGCATGTGTTGTGGTTGTGCACTCTGATGCATAGAATAATTTTCAATGCAATGCCTTAATGTGTAAGAACTAGAGCCTACATTCCTCGTAAGGGATTGCCTGTGACCAGCATTTGTTGGTACGCGATCAGAACGTTTTTCTTTTGTTCCAATGTGTAAAGCCCGATACATTAACATTTTTGGTAATCTTTCAAGTGCTCACAAATCCGAAGTCTAAACAGTGATGGGAGCCGATTTTTCTTATGCTTTTGCAGCTGCTTTTCTCAAGGGAATCTTTCGTGAAGACCGCTCCTGCTGACGAGAAATATATGATTGCAGGATGGGAGCCGAAGGTGAATCCATGAAATAATCCTAGATTATGTGCTCATTTGTTCAAGTTTAGTTGTGTAATAGGTTTGAAGACATATGCATGTCAGCTGTGGAAGCTAAACTTGGGTTATTTCCCGTGTCTAATAAATGTGTTGATCTAAATCGTCTATTATTTTGTATTAGCTCCGCTGTTTGCTATTACTTGTTTATGTAAGTGTTCTTCTGTGTTTTCAACCTTTTAATTTCGGTAGTGTTTTTCACATTCTCGTTTTTTCCTTCTGCACGACTCTCGGTGTAGAAGCACATGTGCTTCTCTAGAAGTGATTATGGCCATTTCCGTACTCATTTTCAAACGATCCCTTTGTGATTATGGCCATTTCCCCTGCAATCTTCAGCAGTGAAATACAGCAATTCTTGTGGTAAATGCTTCACTTTTTTAAATGCAACAGCTGAACCTCAACATTCAACGGTTACCCTCATGCTTCTCATTTGAAACTTTTCTTCGGTTTTTACTAACGGTTTTTTTTTATATTTTATATAACGATATATTTACACTAAGTAGTAGAATAATAAAATGGTTTTCGACTTCGCATCGATGAGATTCGTATTTAAGATCTCTCAATAATGGGTGGGTTATTACCAACTTTGAAAACAAAATTTTCCATCATCCTAAAACAAACCGGCAATTCTATACAGCCTTTGTTTACATGAAATGACTAAGAAATATGCCTCATTCCAAAATGTTAATCAACCATTGAGCCAACCCTAGTGAACTTTTGATCTTGACGACCCTAGACAAGATTGGGATATGTTAAATTCATCATTCCCTGGGCAAGTCTACCCCACTAAGACAATAATTGCCCTGTCAATTGGGCAAAGATAATTATTGCCTTAAAAATAGTAATTGTCTGAGTGCATTTTCACGTCGTAAATGAATTGGCGGTGCAATGAGAATTAAAAAAACTATATTTAAAAAAAAAATAGTAAAATTTGTAATTTTGAATAGAACTTCTAACTAGTCACGTCACACCACGTATCATTATCCGAAATTACAATTCCGATCCGGTCACACCACGGTTCATAATCTTCTAATTTAATTTTTAATTTTTTACATTTTTATTTTTATAACTTCTTAAACATTTTTTTTTACTAATATGGACGTTAGATGACATTTTTTTGGTAATCCAAGAGTCCAGGTTGTGCCACATGGTTAGAAAGTTTGTTTCAGATATTTCCTTTTTTTTTGTTTTGAATTGTTTAAAAACTTCAGATTGATATGGACCATCGGATTTGGGAAATCCAACGACCCAAAATCGCAGATGGCCTGAGTGCCTACTGCGTGGGCATTGCCACTTGCATTTTGTTGGACCGCTCGCCTCAAGCATGTGTGAAGCGCATGCACTTGATGCAAAAAAACTTATAACGTAGATGACACCAAGCTAACGTCACATGGCCTCGGGTGCAGAGTCACGCTGTTCCTGCCCGACTCCTTTGTCCGGCGGTTTTGAGCCTACCAATGGCCCGACTGATTAGGCTGGGATGGAGAGGAATGTTGAGATTTTGGGGAATTCAATTGCCCAATTGAGATAACTCGCTCTTAAAGAGATTCGTGAGTACGACCTCACACACACCAAACAAAATAAAAATAAAACCCAGGACCCAAAACAGTGCTAACCGACTAATAGCAGCCGAACCAATCAGTGATTTTTCGGAGCCATATGAGTTCCCACCATCGAGCATACTTACAAAACGCACCTATCGAGGCAACTCAACTTACATGTGGCCCAAAACAATGCTAACAATGCCACCGACTAATAGCAGCCGAACCAATCAATGATTTTTCTGGGCCATACCGACTAATAGCAGCCGAACCAATCAATGATTTTTTTGGGCCATATGACTTCCAACCATTGAGCACACTTAGAAAACGCACCTTTCTATTGAGCTACGTTCTCTTTCGACCCTTTTACTGGAATTGAGATTGAGCCCCTTTGTTTTCTTTTTCTCTGTCTTTTACAAGTGTCCTTGTGTGGGATGGGAATGAATTTGATTATGCAACTACATTATTCTTTCCAATCCTCACAAAAATTATAGGATTTCTTCCTTAGTAATGGAAGATGTTATGAATAGGAACGATATCTCATGGTTAATGTGTGAAATAAACAATGAGATATCGTTCCTATCCATAACGTACTTGATTGTTCAGGTATCACATATTTAATCTCAACACAATGTTCACTTACTTTTTTTGTTTTATGTTAGTAAACACATAATATGTTAATTAGAAACAACAATGATAGTCATACGATGCTTATCTACTCTTGATATATAAGCGTTAGAGATATAATCACGACTAATTCATCTTCCACCTTCAATTTCAAAGAAAGAAAGAAAAAAAAAATTGAAAGTTTTAACTTCTTTTATTACAACCAGTCCATTTTTTGCACTAATCAATGATCCTTATGCTTTAGTGGGTCGGATCCACCTTCGTTCGCTTGAATCTGCATGCAGCAACCTCACCGACCTGTTTTTGTGGCTGCATTGCCTTATGCTTTCAGATTGGATGGTTGATCGCCCTTGAAGGCTGTGTCGCCCTAGGCATCGGGATCTGCCATTTGTTTCGCCTTGGGCGACAAGTTTTTGACTCCTCAACCATCTTAGGCGTTCAGAGGCAGCCCCACCGCCTTGTGTGCACTGACCATTGGGCTGACCGCCTCAGTGATCGAAAGTGACGGCTGCGCCGCCCTAGGCTTGGGGATATGATGCTTGCACCGCCTTGGGTGAGCAGCTCCGTTTATCCCACCGCTTTACGCGTGTCAGATATAGTGGCTCTGCTATGTCGAGCTTCAAATTTGGTTGAGGGTTGAGGTTGTAGGTAGTAGGTAGCTGTGGCTTGATGAGATGACTGGTGGGTCCCTTCTCGGTGTATGGCAGTTATGTTGTATTGTGGTTACACTACATACATTGACGACTAGATGTGGTGTGGTCTTCGTCTTGAGGTATAATTTATGTGGTGTGGTCTTCATCTAGAGCAATAACTTTTGTGGTCTCGTCTACCAACGACTTTATGTGGTCTCACTTCTCTACGATAGTTTTATATGTCTTCACTATTCAGTGATGGGCTGTTGTAGTTGTCAATACATATTTGTTGCGTCTATCGTTTTGTAACAGATTAATATTGGAGACATTGTAGTTTTCATATATGTAATAACCGTTTAGGGATTTACCATAATTGTCTATTTGAGCAAATTCAGTCTAGATCATTTTCTTGATCAGTAGAGCATTGTCCCAAATTGGCACCTTTATATTTGTTTAGATTGATTAATAAAATAAAAATGTTACTCTTATCACATATTTGTATCATCCTTCTAATGTAAATATGTTCCATATATGTTGGCGGGCCCTACATTTATTAGAAAGGTTACATAAATATATAGTTAGTATCACATTACTCTAATAAAATATCAAACTTACGCTTCTTGTAAAAAAAATATATCTTGCAAAACCACATGGGCACTCGAGATTTTTTCACAAAAAACAAGCTGGTAAAAAACAAAGAAACAAACAAATGATCACAAAACAAGGGAATTAAAGAAAAGTGTGATTACGACGACCCCGCAACATAGTTGGAGTCCCCACATTGTTTGCTTCATTCATTGTATACTCTATAAACAAATAACATCACTACAATCTTTCAAAAAAACATTAGTATAATGCAAATGCTTTGCATGCCATCATATGAATATGTATTTAAGCAGAGTGAGATTCTATTTCTTTCAAATTTTTATCTCCTACAATTTCTTTTTATTTAAGTAGTTGTGATTATAACACATCAATGTCTTGCGTTGATTTTTTATTTTTATTTTTTGAAGAAAGACGAAAAGAAATAAGAGAGGAAGAGAGGAAAGAAAAGAATCTGCTCTATTTAAACACTACTACTGCTACAAGACGAAGCGCAATGACAACTCAAATGACATCTGTCGACACGTGAAGTTTCTAGCATGGTGTGTTTGCGCCCACCAGCCCCACCATACGACAAATTTCCGAAAAGCAGCTACGTACGGTGCTACTTTCTCTTCAACATTATTATTATTGCAAATTATTATCTAATTACATGTTTATATAATAAGTTCGACCTAAACCTACGTGCATGGATGATGGATTTGTGTTTACAACTACTAATAGTAAATTGCATTACTTGGCATCTTTACGAACTCGTTTTGATATGTTTTACTTATTAATTTTCGTTAGAATAACAAAATACAAGGTAGAAATGAGGAGTGAATATGGACAAAAAGAGTGATGAGAAAGATGCCGAAAGAAACTCCCATGAACTGTTACATGAAAACCACAAATCAAGTGAATAGGTTTTTGAGTTTTGGGTTTTTAATTTGTATGATATTCCAAGTGTATTTTCCCCTCTTCCTCCAACCGCACTTGCTCCTCAATCTTAATTCATGTATTCTTCAATATACTTTCTCACTATATTTAGTAAGAAAAATTAAAATTAAAAACGAAACGTTATAAAATAAATCCGTACTCTTCTGTATTATTTATTTTCATACAGAATAATACATACATATATATTTGCGCATGGGGCCGGATAATAAGACGATAATCATTCGATCTTATTGCCTATTGTAGTTTGGCTGCATATATCTGAAGCTACCAACCAGAAAGCAGAAGCCAAAGTGAGATCCCTTTCGATCGATAGATAGTTGGCATGTGTGTGTAAATAACTAGTCGTCGGAATCTTTGGAATCCAAGATCATCTTTTGTATCAATTGGCTTATCTCTTCCTCTGACATTCGATCTCCTTTATTCTGAGACTCTTCATATGCCTCGAAGAACTCCTTGTTCACTTTCTCCAGTTCATTCCATACTGCACTCACCACAATCATTCATATATCAACACATATGATCACCATTACTTTATTATCAGTATTTTAACTAAGAATTTAAGTCAAAAATTTTACCAACTAGGTTAAGTTCATATATATAATCACTGCAGTTATTTACATATATGCACATTAACAGTTTGGGAGATTGTTGAAGATGGTACGTAACGTAGTTGATCGACTTTGGCTCAATTTTATTTTTGAACAAAAGATACAAAGAGTGGTAATTTCGACTCAGAATCTCTAATATATTATGTTATTAACTTATGAACACTCTTAAACAC